GTTCCCAGAATAGATGGAGGGGGAACGTCTGGTTCCAGGCCTTGCCCTCTGTGGGTCGAGGGGCGGGGAGGGGGATATATTTAGCAGAGTGGGGAGCTGGGCTGAACCATCGCCCCACCGCCCACGTCACTTGAGGCACACCAGAAACGTCCCCTAGGGGTCGGCCAGGGACTGGGGTTGTAAAGGGCGGCCGTCCAGATAGAGAGCTGAGACTGGGCCCTGCCAGGCGCACCGGTCCTGCTGGAGAAAGCGGCTCTGGTCGCAGCCCTCTTGGAGCAGGTCCCGCCGAACATGACTGGGCTTTCCTCTGAGTAGATATTCGCCCCTCGAAAGGTTCTTCTGCAGGGCCCCTGTATAGCCATGAACTCACCACTTCCCCATCGCCCCCTCGGCTCCTCCTCACCCTGCGAAGGACGCCTCCTGGGCCGGGGGGGTCAAGCGTGAGCCCTGCTGCCGGGGAGTTGTCTTCTGTTCCCGGAATAGATGAAGGGGGAACGTCTGGTTCCAGGCCTTGCCCTCTGTGGGTCGAGAGGCGGGGAGGGGGATACCATCGCCCCACCGCCCACGTCACTTGAGGCACACCAGAAACGTCCCCTAGGGGTCGGCCAGGGACTGGGGTTGTAAAGGGCGGCCGTCCAGATAGAGAGCTGAGACTGGGCCCTGCCAGGCGCACCGGTCCTGCTGGAGAAAGAGGCTCTGGTCGCAGCCCTCCTGGAGCAGGTCCCGCCGAACATGACTGGGCTTTCCTCTGAGTAGATATTCGCCCCTCGAAAGGTTCTTCTGCAGGGCCCCTGTATAGCCATGAACTCACCACTGGGGCAACCACGGAGGGTCCGGTCGGGTCGGGTCGGCGGGACCGTGTGGGTCCTGGCCTTGCCAAGCAAGGGGGATCAGCCTCAGAAGGGCCAGACTCCCTAACTCCCATCATCCCCAGCCAGCACGGGTCCCATGGGCCGGGGCAGTGAGGGCTGCGGCCGAACCCATCCAGAGGAGGAGAGCGCAGGGTTGGGGGAGGCTGCCGGAGGGGGGGAGGAAGGCAGTGGTCCAAGGCAAGGGGACATCTGGCCC